GGCTCCACCTTTAAGTTTTCTTATGACCTCGAAGGGTCCTTCCCATGTCGGTCCGAGCTTTCCTAGTTGGTGTCCAGCGGCTTATGCTTTTCTAAGAACAAGATTGCCAATTCTGAACCTTCTCGTCTGGACCTTGTTGTTGAATTGCTTCGCCGTTCTGTTTTGACAAGTTGCAGCTCTAAGTGAGGCTTGCTTCCTTACCTCTTCAAGCAAGTCAAGGTGCTCAGTAGTTTATCTCTCCCTATTCATCTCGAGCTTTCTTATTGTGGGAAGGCTAACCTCGATTGGGATGGTAGCCTCAAGTCCAAAAGCAAGCATGCAGGGCGTTTCACCAGTTGCTGTTTTGTGCGAAGTCCTGTATGCCCATAGTATAGAAAGCAGTTCATTAGGCCAGTTACCTTTGGCATCCCCTATCCTTGTTCGAAGGTCCTACAATATGATCCGATTAGTTACTTTGGCGAGCCCATTACTTTGTGGGTGTGATACCGAGGTCAAGCGATGATCAATCCCATTGTTGGCACAGAAGCTCCTGAACTGCGGATTGTCGAATTGCCTTCCGTTGTCTATGATGAGGACTTTTGATATCCCAAACCTGCATATGACAGACTTTCATATGAATGACCTGAGTTTCGGCTCCGAAATTGTTGCTAGTGGTTCGGCTTCTACCCACTTTGTGAAATACTCCACTGCCACAACTACAAATTTTAATTGTCCTCGAGCCAAGGGAAATGGCCCAAGAATATCAACTCCTCACTGCTCGAAAGGAGCTGAGTAGTGAATGGATGTTAGCTTCTCAGTAGGAGCATGTATGACGTTGTCAAACTTTTGGCACTTGTCGCACTTTCGAACGTAATTTGTGGCATCTTTCTTCAATATTGGCTAGTAGTATCTATACCTTATCAACTTATATGCAAGAGCTCGGGCTCCCTGGTGATTTCCACAAATGCTTTCATAAACTTTAGCCATGGCTTGAAGAGATTCGAAAGGTCTGAGACATCTTAGATAGAGGAGTGTGAAACTCCTGCGGAACAGGATTCCTTCGATCATACAATATCTAGCGGCTCTGTACCGAATGCTTCTAGCAAGCCCAGGGTCTATAGGTATGTTACCATTACTTATGTAATCAACTATTGGATCCATCCAGGAGGGCGCATGGTCGATGTCCATGACACTTGGCTTTTGAGCTATGCTAGGTTCTGTAACCATCTTGATGTGCACGGTTCTATCGAGCCCGTCCACACCCATGAAGATGAGTTTGGATCATGCGTCAACTTTGGCATTATCGGCTCGGCTACCTTCAAAATTTCACAACTTATGAACTGCCTCTGGAGGTCATGTACTTTCAAATAGTATAGTCGTCCTTTTTTTCGAAAGGCCCATCGATTTGCCTAACAACTAGCTGTGAGTCACTGAAAACTTTGACACGCTCAAACTCGAGATTTTTCGCAAGTTCTAGGGCTATGACAACGGCTTCATACTCTGCTTCATTATTGGTAGCCTCGAATTCAAATCTGAGAGCACACTGTATCTCCGTAGTCTTGTCCGGACTTGTGATGATGATACCGACCCCGAGCCCGAGCTAGTGGATGCTCCATCAACAAAGATCTCCCATGTTTTCAAGGTCGTGCTCGGGCCCTTAGCCTGTGTTTTTGAGGATCTCGAAGTAAGCTCTGCTATGAAGTCAGCCAAAACTTGGGCCTTGATTGCAGGTCATGGCTTGAACTCTATGTCAAATTCGTCGAGTTCAATTGCCCATTTCAACAGTCTTCCTGAAACGTCTGGCTTCTGGAGTTTGTGTCTAAGAGGTTGGTTAGCGAGTACAACAATTGGATGTGACTGAAAGTACGGCCGTAATTTTCTGGCAGCTATTACCAAAGCAAGGGCGAGCTGTTCTGCAAGCGTGTATCGTGTTTCTGCATCGAGGAGCACTTTACTTACATAGTAAAAAGGTTGTTGAACTCTTCCTTTTTCCTTTACCAAGATACCGCTTACTGCATTCTCAGAAACGGCCAAGTATAATAGCAGTGTGTCACCGGGTTTGGGTTTTGTAAGGACTGGAGGCGTTGATAATGTCTGCTTGAGCTCCTGAAAAGCTAAGTTGCATTCCTTATTTCAGTCAAACCCTTTATTTTCCCTAAGTAGTTTGAAAAAGGGGAAACACCTGTCCGCTGCTCGGGAAACAAACATGTTCAGTGCTGCTACGCGACCTGTCAACTTCTGAATGTCCCTTTTGCACTTAGGGGCCTCCATACTTATCAGAGCTTGGATTCTATTAGGATTTGACTCTATTCCTCTGTGTGTGATCATAAAACCCAAGAATTTTTCAGATGCCACCCCAAACGCACACTTTGTAGGGTTGATCTTTATGTTGTACCTTCGTAACGTAGCAAACACTTCCTCTGATCAGAAACATGACTATTCAGCTATTTGCTCTTAACCATCATATCATCCATTTATGCTTTGACCGTTTTCCCAATTAACTTGGCGAAGATCTTGTTTACCAACCTTTGATATGTTACTCCAGCATTCTTCAGTTCCACCCTGTAGCAATAGATGGTTGAGTCTGCCATGAATGAGGTCTTCTCTTGATCTTCTTCCGCCATGAGAATTTAGTGATAACCCGAGAAAGCATCCAAGAAGCTGTACAACATATGACCTGACGTGTTGTCTACCAGATTGTCAATTCGAGGTAGAGGATAACTGTCTTTGGGGCATGCTTTTATTTAGATTTGTGAAGTCAATGCAAACTCGCCACTTTCCATTAGCTTTCTTGATAAGAACTACGTTAGCTAGCCACTTGGGATATTGTACTTCTCGAATGAACTGTGCGTTAACAAGTTTAGCAATCTCCTCCTTTATGACTTCTCGTCTTTCTGGTGCAAACTACCTCTTCCTTTGCTTCACGGGTCTTGCTTCCGGATTTACGTTAAGTCTATGTACCGCAATCTCTGGATTAGTTCTAGGCATGTCCTCAACATTCCAAGCGAATACATCAATGTTACGGGAGAGACAACTTAGTAATTCAGACATGACTGCTGTATCTAGCCCCCGACAATTTGTCACTTTCCTTCCAGGCTCGATCTCAACCTCTTCCAATCCTTCCA